CGAAATCAGAGACTTCTGAAATCAGAGTTGTTAAATCATAGTTCTTGATTAGTATTGAACTATGGGACAACGAACAGAGGCTTCTCTGCAAGAGTCCAGGCACTGCAAGAAAGCCTATCAGCTAGAGGACTGCTACTGGAAGTGTAAAGCAATGCAATGCCCATCATAGTGAAGCAGTTTTGGCCCAGTCACACCACCTGATAGCTGGGACCAGCTCAAAGTACACCAATGAACAGTTACTACAGCTCAGCTGGGTCTCGATGTGTTGTGGATGGCCTTACATCCACCCTGCAGCTGAGCGTTTTTTAGAACCACGTAGAAGCCCAGGGTTATGTTCCTAAACCGTTGACATCTAGGCACTGAGGTGCCCTAACTTCGCAATCAGTCTGAGGCCTCCTTTTGTATTTAACATTTTGCAGGCTGTCTCTATTACATAGTCATCGGCCATAAACTTAGAAGAGACACTTCAGCTGTAACATTAAAATAAATACGAATGTCATTCTGCACTATGGGAAAGCAAAGGTTGGACGGAGTCACTCACCCCTACAGAAAAGACTGTGGGGTTCAGATCATTGTGGAGATACGGAAAAGAAGCTGGAGTTGTGGAAGGGACTACGCAGCTTACCTGTAACAGTGGATTTCCTAGCTGAACTTCTGTACTGGAGATCAGTCTTGCACACTTTGTAACAGCAGCTAAGTTTGACATTCTGCACTGAAATAGTCTTGAAAGATGCCTCTCCTTCATGACTTGCAGACCCTCTGTACAAATCATAGAATCATAGAATGCTTTGGGTTGGAAAGGACCCAAGAGGTCATCTGGCCCACCCCCTCTGCAGTGAGCAGGGACATTTTCAACTAGGTCAGGTTGCTCAGAGCTCCATCCAACCTGGCCTTTAATGTTTCCAGGGATGGGGCCTCCACTACCTCTCAAATCTTATTTCGATGCTCAGGGACAATCTTTATGCGCACAACTTCTACCTATTTCAGGTGACTCATGTATCTGGTGGAGAATTAGAGCAACAAAACCTTCTGACTGGCGGTGGTAGTTTTACCTCTCCACTAATCAGTAAATATGACACTATTGAAATATTTCATGGCTTTAGGGCATTTCAAAAAATGAGAAACCCAGTGCCTGACAGTGCTAGCTAAAGACATTCAGAGCCCTGTGGATGTACATCCCATGCTGACTCATGTAACCAACTTGTATGACTTCATTGGTATATTTTCCACAATGTCACTACTTCTTTTTGTACATGCTGCCAGAGATGTGTTTGGAGGGGAACAGTACTGTGATTGGCCTCAGTTGAGAAACTTTCAGTTGAAGGAGATGAAAATGTTACTGTCTTTTATCAAGCAGAGAAGAGAATGGTGAGCCTGAAGTGGAGGTGGCAGGGTAGAGGCAAGAATAGAACAGTCAATTTCTATGAGTCATTTAAAGCAACAGAAAGAAGTCACTTACCCAGACAAGGATATAGACGGGAGAAGGTACGTCAGATGCAGACGCAGCAGGAGCTGGACTGAAGCAGCCCAGGAGTGCAGTGTCCAGCTACCAGGCTGCGTGTTCCCCAAACCACAGAGAAACCCCCAGCTCCAAGTTTACCATTGCCCTCTTGCTAGAAAGTATCTGTGAAACCTGCTGGCGAAATGTGCATTCCATCTGCACTGACAGCAGGGCCAGAGACCAGCGCAAGGATAACCTGCTGTTAGGGGAAGCTCCTCAGAGCTCATGGCAGAGATCTAGGCAATAGATACAGGAATCCTACAGCAGCTGCTTGCCATGCCTGTGTTTATCTGGTTTCAAATGCATCAGCCGCAGTCTAAATTCTGTGCTGTAATACCGATACAGGAGAATATTGATGGAGGATTTGGCATGGCATTATTTAAACCTGTGCTCTCTTTGTATAATGTAGCTATAATAATGTCCCTTTCACGCTAATGCAGTTAGTGTAGCTTTTATAATATTTTCTTGCAAGGTGTTGAATACTCTCTTTTTCCTTAAGTCATTGCAATTCAGGATACAGTACCGTTGCAGGGCTGGGCCCTATTTTCCATCTATAGGCAGCATTTGAGGAGGACCAATTTCTGATTCCTCTGGATTAACATTATGTATGCTGAAAAGAGAAGGTAATATAAAAAGCAATTGAGATGAGTTATGAAAATCAGAATTTTCCTTGCTACTCTATTGCTTCTATATTACACCTTGGCCATTTCACTCATGAATGATTAATTAAGGTCCAAGGGATTAGATTGGGCAAATGCGCTGACACAAAACAGAACAGGGATGCAGGAAGAAATTAAAACAAAAGGTATAGTAAATATACAAAGCATTTTGCAAACAGATTATTTTTGCTAGGTCAAGATGATACAGTTTTATTAGCTCGCGCTACATAAATATGGCTGGAATGATGACTGCAAAATAAACCTTAGAAATCTCTCTATTTGGACTAATACATATTAGTATATTCTAATATTCAGAATAACACAGAAACAGGTGTCTTTATGTCTCCAAATACACTTCGTATACCTGACGTAAGCAAAGTGAAATCTGTTGACAGAGAACAGATCTGAGGATTTATACCTTGTCATGGTTTAACCACAGCCAGCAACCAAGCACCAGGCAGCCGTTAACTCACATCCCCCCCCTAGGGTGGGGGGAGAATCGGAAGGGTAAAAGTGAGAAAACGCTGGGGTTGAGATAAAGACAGTTTAACAGGCAAAGCAAAAGCCATGCACGCAAGCAAAGCAAAACAAGAAATTCATTCATGACTTCCCATCAGCGGGTGGGTGTTCAACCTTCTCCAGGGAAGCAGGGCTCCATCACGTGTAACGGTTACTTGGGAAGACAAACATCATCACTTCAAATGTCCCCCCTTCCTCATTCTTCCCCCAGCTTTACATGCTGAGCATGACGTCATACGGTATGGAACATCCTTTTGGTCAGTTGGGGTCAGCTGTCACAGCTGTGTCCCCTCCCAGTTTCCTGTGCACCCCCAGTCTACTCACTGGTGGGGTGGGGTGAGAAGCAGAAGGGGCCTCGACTGCTCAGCAACAGCTGAAACATCAGTGTATAACCAACATTCTTCCCATACTAAATCCAAAACACAGCACTATACCAGCTACTAGGAAGAAAATTAACTCTATCCCAGCTGAAAACAGGACACACCTTAAGATATGAAGCGATGGCTGAGAGAAAAAAAAAGAAAAATGTGCTCACTGCGGAGAGATCACCCAACTCCTGCTTGAGCATCTGTATGCACGTGTTTCTTGTACCGTCACTGACTCACTTGCTTTCCTCCTGGAAAGACTCCCCCATTTCGTCTCCTCCCTAGTGAAGGAGAACATCTCTCCAGAGCATATTTTCCATTATTTTCATCCCCACCTGGCCCTGCGTAACTGGAACTCGGAGTTCACTGATGGCACAGGAAACATTTTGCAGGCTGTAACTGTTAAAGGGCAGCTTTATAGGCAACACTGGTGAGTAGATCTGGGGTGGATGACTTCATGTCTCTCTGGCTGGCAGGCTGGCAATACTGCAAAGAAAAGAAAGGAGGGGAAAAATCAATGCTATATTGCTGGCTTTTCTGGAGATTGGATTAGAAAGAAGCAAGTACAGAAGCTGATAACTGTCCCTACTCCCTGTGAATAACCTTGACTGCTCAGATATATTTCTTGTAAGGGCATCTCTAATCATTAACTTCTTGCCGGGGGTCATGGGAGGTACACTTGTTAGTCAGCTCCCACGACCAAACCTGAGTTATTATTTGTGATAAAAAAACTGCTGGGACATTGGTAAACTTGGGAAATTCATGAAGGACTGCTTTATTTTAAAACAAGATTTGCACACAAGTTCTCCAGTTGAGTTGAAGATATTGAAGGGCCTCAGCTGAATACATTGTAGGAGGTTTTCAATAGGATTAGCGAAGCCGCTGGATGGCTGAGGAAAAGAATGTAAAAATTAATAATTTGTGGCCATTGAAGGGAAAATTTAAAATATTGAGCATTCCAAAACATTTTGATTCAAAACTGAGCTATTTATTTTACTGTGATGCATTCACATTGCTTAAGGTCACTTTAAACAGAAATGGAGCTTTCAGTTTGAAAAAACAATGATGATGATTTCCATAGATTCAATTTTTTTCAAAAAATACATTTCAAAACAGGTAATTAATTAAGAACTGCCTCTTTCCTGCAAGCAACCTTTATTTTCATGAATCCGCATATTCTGTGGAAATATTTAAAAATCTTCAACTACTTCTAGTCATGAAACATGCAGGATTCAAGCCAATGTTAAATATCCATTTTAAGTTTGTGATTTTCATTGTCTGTGCTCCTCTTATGGAGACCTATGACAGCTTAAAAAAAGACGGTGCCTCTAAGCGCCTCTGTTTTTAAGATGTCTCAGGCTGAAATTCAAAAACGTTCAATAAAGTAGTTCTTTAACATCACAAAGTTCAAGCATTTGGAATCAATTTGCATTTTTGACAATGCAGGTCATTGTGTATTTTGTAAAATGAAACCAAAAATATTTCCTTTATATGAAATAAAATATTGGTTTTGTACTCACAAAAAGTTTTTTAAAAAGTAGCTTTTTTTTGGAAGCTAAAACAGCTTCCAGCAAAACTTCTAGAATAATCACATTAAACATAAGTTAAGGCAACATATAATGTTCATTTTGTAATTTTCCACAATTAATACATTATGACTATCACCTATTTACTTTATCTGGAGAGCTAATAAAAGACAAATGCCATGCATTTTTCCTGACTTTGCATTTCAGTCATTTATCAAGTTGCCTCTAATATTTCAGTTGCCTTTATCAATCACCCGGAAAAATCATTTACTGATAGGACTCCATGGCGTGTAGCAAAGTATATAAGCGTGAGATTTATATTGCTTGGTCTCAATTTGTCGCTTCAAATCATCTGACTTTGAAGTGACTCTTAAATCCTCCTGTCTTTTCAGCGTTATCTGATTTGCAGGCATCCCAGACTTAAGCAACCATGTCCAACCCCAGTCAGTCAGAGCTCATTCACACGTTTAAGGGGATTCCCTTTACCACCAGGTCTTCTCCAGAACTCTTAAAATGCTTGGATACTTTTGATGCTAGAGAAGATGATGTCGTTTTGGTTTCCTATCCCAAATCTGGTAAGTTCTACTTTTAGAAGTTAATTGCAAGAAATCTCAACTGTTTGTTCCATGTTCTCTGCTTAAACTAGTTGGGAAATGTCTGTGTACAAGAAACAGGGAAGGATGTTTGAGTGTGTGCATATATTATTCTGCCACTAAGCGTTCAAATTACAAAAAAATATGGGTCATTTATCTCGACTTTGAATCTTTAATTGAAAATAATCTCAGGTGTTTTCACACTGGAAAGCAAATAAATATTTCTTTGTTGTAAGCAAACTCTGTACTTATAGGATTTTCCTGAGGACTTTCTACACTCAATTATGAGCAAGTCAAGAGTTGCATTAAGTTATTTGTCTGGCTCTTGGCTGTAGATTCATTCGTTTCTTTTTCCCTCTCCGCTCGACTCACTTGCACACAGACGCACACGCCAAAGAGGAAGCTGCCAGTACTTTCCAAATATACAGACTCAAGGTACTACAAGGAAAATAAACTATAAAAATTATTAACCATATCTCAGCTGACAATCAGTTTGTCTAATAAGACTGTTTTGGTACCAATATTAACACTTCTCACAAAGTTACTCTGTACTTCAGCTACAACCCTAATTTTTCCAATATTTATACATTTGGAGCCAATAGGATTATTCAGTTATGTAAAGTTTCTTGAATCTGGGGAATTAAAAATATCACTGGTGTACCAGCAAGCTGTTTCCACATGCAAAATGCATGTTCTACATATTTTCTCAGTAACAAGTCTTCCTTTTTTTCTCGGTTTTTTTTTTTCTTAAAATTACTTTTCTGCAGGCACTCATTGGCTTGCGGGAGTTATAACGAAGCTTTACAATACTCAAGTTACACTAACATCTCCCATTGAATTTGGAGATGTTTCCAGACTGGAGGAGCTGAATAAACTCTCATCAAAGAGAATCATTCCAACACACTTAGACTACAACATGTTACCTCCAAATTTTAAGAATAAAAAATGCAAGGTAAGGCAAAAAGATATAAAAGCAGTAAGATATGTTAAGTGACTACTAGGAATCTATTTTGTCTTGTTGATCCTGAAAAATTTTAAAACGATTTACAGTTTCCAGAAGTGGTTTGATGTGAATTTTGGAGACACAGCTGACCAGCGGTCCAAGGCAGCATAAGGAGAGGCTTGGGCCAGGGACTGGGTTCTGCCCCCACCCCACAGCTCCCACAGGGTGATTTGTATACCAGGCACCACAGAAAATAGAACACCAACATCTTTCAATCAACATCTTTCAATTATTAGGGATGGGGCCCCATTTCCTAGTGACTGGAGCACTGGCTTAGTAAATAGCTATCTTGGGTACTCGCAGGCTGTTCTGGGAGCGAAGGAACCCTGCCCATCCTGTTGGAGCTTTGTGAAGACCCAAAGAGGTACTGAGTAAATAAAGGAGAATTAAAATGTGGGAGGTGGATTCAGATCACAGTTTTGGGTTCCTCCCATGCTAATGTAGGAGGTCCTTAAAAAATCAGTTCTGGGCTTCAGATTTTAGGTTAGAAGTTAAAGATTTCAGGATTACTCAGATCCAGACTTTTCAGGCAGGGTGATTTTGAAAGAAAGCCCGCAATTTATTTTTCGCAGCTGTCCTGTGAATTTTAATGAAGTGGTTTCACATGTTAGATATATGAGATAGTATACTGACTCCTGAGTTAAAATGAACACAACTTCTTTCATAAACATTAACATTACCCAGCTGTAGGAGACATGCCGCTGTCCACATGGCCTAGTTTACTAACCACTCCCTGCCTAAGCAGGGACAAATACATTTCTATTTTAATGGCATAGTCACCAACGGAGGAATCCTAAAGGAAAGGGTTTTGACCCTGCAAACTACCTTTGAAAATGCTACTTTTACACAAAGCTGCTCTAAAATAAAGGAAGTATATTGTCATTAATAACCATATCATCTTCACTTACAGATGATCTACATCAGCAGAAATCCAAAAGATACTGCAGTGTCCATGTATCATTACTACAGAGATAACCCAAACCTTCCCACTATAGACACCTGGACCGCTTTCTTTGATTTGTTCTTAAAAGGAGACGGTATGGATAAATGTTATGTTTTCTCCTTGCAATTTATAATTTCTTATGCAGAGAAGGGGTTAAGAAATGTGAAATGTGTGAAAACTCCTTTTTGAACTCCTTATGCACATGGCTTTAGCTGGGGTTTCTTTCACAATAAATTCTAATGCCAAACTAAACAAGAGCAAATAATAGGATGCTATCTTCATCCCTGCAAGGAGACATTTTTATAAGCGGCTGCAGTACTTCAGCACAACTGCTCTTTGCAGATTGCTGCTCTTTGACATATCTCTTAAAAACATATTCTCACCAACAAGTTGTCAAATTCATTTCTTCCCACAAACACCCTGAAGCCCCTGACAATTTGTTGATTCTGATGTGGATTTGCTGGTGTTAAAACATTTCCAACTTTGTCCTGCAAACCACAGTAACAGACTTCATGTTGAAACTGTGATAGAGTATGTGAACACAGCTCCTCCCCAGCAGATGTAAGGGTTGTCCTCGGCGAGCAGGCCAGTGGGGCAGGGGTTCTGTTGGAAGGTGCTCAGCCAGCTCCACGTGGCTCATCTGTGCCAAAGGGAGGACAGCGGGGCACATGGGGAGACTGTCCCCAGGCTGCACTGGGAGCGATGCTTGCAGGGGTAGTGCCTTCTCCAATCGTGAAGACAGCCGTGGGTGGCCCTTCAAAGGGAGTCCAGGTGCTTTCATAAGGCCCTCTGGCACTCTGCCTGATGTGTTGACTTCGTAGCAGGGTCCAAAGATCAAGGAGTGAGGTTATTATGAGTGGCCATGGTGGCATGGAAACAGACAACACAATCCTGTTCCAGTTACCCACTCCCATTTTTAGTGTTTTATTACTGCTTTGAGGACATGTGTTCCTGCTACAAAACCATAATGATGATAACAGCACAATGATAGATCAGCTTCAAAACTTTGGAAGAAAAGTGCTGTTGCAGTGATCATGGTCTTACATCAGAGCTCCAGGAGTCAGTTTGTCTACTGCCTTCTGTGGGCTTTTGCTTGGATCTTGTGTTCCTAGCTCAGAGCAGCCCTAAGGCACGTGCTGCAGTGGTTTGCAACATCTTGCCTTGTTTAGTATCAACTCTGAACGTACAAGAGTGAAAAAAAGAAAAGAGGACTATATTAAATTTTAAAGGCATCTCCCATTTATCTGTAAATTAGTAGCCATCTTCTATTATCTGTGTGCTTACACATGGCATAAAAGGGTGACTATTTTGGTTACAACAGAAGTTTATGGAAGAAGAGGGAGAGGCTGTCATTTTTGCTCCTAATAGAAATATATGAAGGTTCCGCTGCTTGATTCAGATCCTGTAGTATTCTTGCACAGATAATCTCAGTTCAGAACACGGGTGAGAACACACAGAGACAACTGGGATGCTGTGCCTGGAGTCTCCGAGGCTGTATGCTGTACCCCTGAAGCTAACACAGTGACTCTATGCTGTGGTTGACCACAACTCCACTGTGTTTGACCAGGACAGCAGGGTTTAATTGCACACCATGGAGCACACATGCCTTGCAGTTAGACAGTGCTTTATGCGCAGGAGGCAGCTACAGACTGAAGCATTCGGGAAAATACTTCATTACAACTCAAAGTTTGCAACCAAAATGACGCCCATTACAATATTATACTTCTCTGGGGACAGTTTTAAAGAAAAATCGCAGTTCTGGAGCATGCTTGCTGTGATTGCTCTGTCCAAACCCCTTCTCATCACCCTACAGGAGTCTTTCAACTCATCTGGTAATGCAGTCCATCTTGTCTTTCAACCAGAAGGGTCAGAATTTTGTTTTATAAAAGAAGGATGAAATTTAGCTCCCTCCCATGGTTCAGCAAAAGGACCATTCAGAAAAACACAAGTACTATAAGTCATCTATAAAACCATAAATTATCTGTGTTGTTGGCTGAATGATGTATTTACTTAATAATGTCTTTACATAACTCTTCTTTGAGTTTGAATAATAGTATAAATTCCCTTTTGCTGGGACAAAACAGAGCTAATTGTGTGCTCCATTTAGCAGACTCCTTATTTCACTTCCTAGTGAAGAGATCACATTTCTAGCTGTGACCACAGACATGCAGACATTTGCTGAGATGCTCACATCTTGTTAGCCCAGTACATTTTCCTTCATTACTGGCCTTTCCTTAGATTTGGAGCCTATTCCCACTATAGAATCATTTCTCAGAAACGCATCTGCATCTCTGATACAAAATCTCATTCCAACAAGAATGGTAACCTCTTCAACTCTAAGTTTGAGCCATTCACAAAGAGAATTTAATCCTTTTTCAAGGAACACAGGGTACACACCAAGAAGGGATCATTCCGCTAAACATGTGAGATACAGTCAGCGTTATTTATGAATAAAGTTTATATAAATCTCTTTTACATGGGCTTTCTTATCAGTTGTCTGTGGATCCTGGTTTGATCATTTCCTAAGTTGGGAAGAACATGAAAATGACAGAAACATCCTCTTTTTGTTCTATGAAGACATGAAGAAGGTAAATATGCTCTCTGCTCTTCTTTCAGAATGCATTACTTGTAAATTAACATCATTAAAATATCAAAGAGCAAGTTACAATGAAACAGGAGAAAGAAGGAAAATGTGAATGTATGACTTTGAGCGTATTATATATTTGCACAGAACTTTGTATCAGTGAGCTAATTCTGACTGCACAGGTTATATGACTATCCAACCCTGTGAGAGCCGCATTTCACAGATGCAAGGGTGAGACACATATTACAGGAGTTTCCCCAGGCTGCAGGAAGGCTTCTAAGTTTCTTATTCTTGGTCCTATGGAGAGACCAACCAAGGACATCTGTTGAGGGCCACACATTAACCTGCTCTGCCTGACATTTCAGGTAAAATTTTCAAAACGTGACAGAAGACAACAGAACTACTTGTGGTCAGTGGGACTTGTGCTCCCAGTAAAAAAGAAAATTAGAGGCTGGGAGGGTCAGGAAGAAAGTTTTTACAAAAGGAAATTACTACTCAACTACCAACATCACTTCACGTTCAGAGAATGAATTTTGGGATGAATGAAAAATACTTTCTAGTGTTTCCTTTATAATAGTTCTGTTCCTTTTTTTTGAAAAAAAAAAAAAAATCCACTACAAGGAATATAAACAAGCCATTTGGGATCCTGAGTCACTTGTTGGATCTCTAGATATCGGACTTCAAATGAAATAAGCTACTTACACAGACGCTGAGTTTCGAGTATTTCTCTATTCCCAGTGAAATAATTCTGAGGGACAGGAGAACACAGTGCCTGAACTAGGAGTAAAATTGGCAATGTAATTGTATTTGATATCAAATACTTCGCATTTACTCATTTCTCATGGGTAAGAGGGGAATCAAATCTACTGTACCTGTCATCTACACAGTCTAATGACATGTTTAGCTTTGCATGAAAGCAAATAAATCAGCTCAGAAATATAAAAGCTTTATTTTTCTTGTACCTCAGGATCTCCCTAAGATTGTAAAGGAAATTATTCTGTTCCTGGGTTTAAACATCAGTGAAAATGATATCCAAGACATCTGCAAGAAGTCCTCGTTCTCAGAAATGAAACATGACACAGAAAAGGAAAACAGTGATCCCAGTCACACAGTTTGTGCACTGACATCCAACAGAAAGCTGATTTTCCGAAAAGGTGAGTGCCCTGGGCCAGGCTCAGCACTGCGGAAGGAGCAGGAATCCAGCCAGAGGCCGCAGTCCCGGTCTTTCCCGGGCTGTAGTGAGGCTTCAGGTCAGCCCTGGGAAGCAGTGACAGGAGCTTTCGGTTTGAAGCCATCTTAAAAATCACTTTCTACGTTGTCTGGTTGCAAATGCACACTTATACTAGAGAAGCACGGAGTTGGAACAACAGTCTGACTAGTATTGCTCGGTGGGAGCTTTTGAGTTAAAAGGAAAGGTTCACAAAGCATTACTCTTTTATCTGTTGGGGTTTTTTTATCTAAAAGTTGACCACCTTGGTCTTTTACAACATGTCCCCTCTGATACCACCAGCCAAGGTCACTTAGTTTACTAGAATGAGTGAGACACATTCCTTTCGAGGGAGACTGATCATACCCTTTATCCTCCGTACTGCCTCTTATCTTATTGAAATCTTCCTGAAAAAGGAATATGTTTACAATGACAACAATGAAAGCATGGATGACTCGGTCACCTGATGGCCTCGTAGGTAGCCTTCAGACGTTGGCCAAGCTGGAATCCGCGGTAGAATCTTCAACAGTGTTTAGCTCAGACGTGACTTTAAAATACCTGCAGAAGCTTTTTCTTGCTCCTGACGTTTCAGAAGCTTCCTCAGATTTGGACAATGTTTAGATGGATTTTGACTTTTTTTACTTAGTTAATTTTTGAACAATAATAGACAGTTTAAAACTAAGAGTTGTTTCAATTAATAAATAGGAAAACAGTACATTTTGCTAACTCAGAATGCTTTTACCAATAAGCTGAAGCAAATGCCAAAATAAAATCTGTCAATAAAAAACAAACAAAAAAATCAGATACGCTTTTCTAAGTCAGTGAACTTTGACAAAGATATCTTGAAAAACTTGAAAAATCCCAACAGTTTCACTTCCCAGTAGTTCCTGTGCAAATCCCGGGGTTTTGACTAGTTTCAGCCAGAAAGATTTATACGTATCCATTATTCTTCCAGCTCTCTTTTCTTGCCCCTGCTGTCCAGAATGCTATTTTAGGCAGCAGTTTGGGGATGCAGGATCTTTAGAGGATGCACATGAGGGTGAACTGTAAGCATTCTCGCATTAAAATATGTCATTTTAAAAAACATTTTCCTGTTTGCTCCAAGTGGATAACAGTTGAAATGCTTTACTGAACACAAGTGTGCATGGTCACCCAGAAGTAGTTAACTGCCCACTTAAGTAGTGGGACACCTCATCTGTAGAAAACTCCAGAGATCAGGAGCGGGTGTGAGGGTGGGATTCATCTATCAGGTCACTCTGGGCTTCATTTTTAGGAGTCTTCTTTAGTCAGTAGAGACATACAGCTGCTTTTGGGGCAACATTCATTTGACAAGTTCTAGATGTTGATTAGGATGAGATTAATTTCAGCTGGGAAGTAACCATTTCCCTCTACTGACTGTGATAAGAACCCAGGCAGAGCCCTTTAACTTGCGTATACCTACGTGCAGCAAGATGCCTCTCTGCTGAGATGACCAAGAGCTCTAATTCCACCTAGGAAATCTGCTGCTCTTCATCTACCAGTTAGTGTTGTTGGCGCTAACCATGTCTGAGGCTGAGAGTTTAACAGCCTTTATGGATGATGATCCAGCTGCTTCCACCAGAGTCTCACCAGACCAGTAAAACAATTACTCACGATCATGACCTACTGCAGAGACTATGATAAATAACATATTAATAATTTGTGCCAACTGCAACGTGAACAAAACTAGGTTGCCTTTAAAGTGTTTTCTGCACCGTGTATTGCTAGCCTCTCTGTTCTTTTTCTGCTCCTGCTCTTCTAGGCACTGTTGGTGATTGGAAGAACCATTTCACCCCAAAGCAGAATCTAAGGTTTGAGGAGATTTTTAATGAGAAAATGAAACTCAGCAAAATGGCGAAAAATCTCACCTATGAATTTTGACTCCATGTGAAGAACAATACCCAGTTACCAACAAACAGATGGAGCAACTGGTGGGAAATTCTGAATGGGGGCCCTCATTCTGTTTATAACCCTTCCAGTAGAAAGGATTGTGTAAACATGAGATTTCGAGGATAGGAAAATTCTGACACAATGCCAGAGCTTAACTCAGTTTTCAGTGGGCAAATGTATACTGTTTTACAGGGTCAGGTGTCAGACTCATTTTTCTAGAGCGAAATCTACTTTATCATTTATATAATTTATTTATTTATCTCTCAGGGGATACAAATTGACTTCTTAGATCTGATTTAGAAATTTTACCTAAGATGTTAAGAAAAAAACAAAAAACAAACCCAGAAGAATCTGAATATACAAAACGTCTAAAAACACATAATAAGAAAATGACCAAAGATTTGACCCCAGACTCGGTCCCTCCCTGATTCATCACAATTTGGAAAGTGCCTATCTTACTGGACGTTGCCATCGATACTGAAGTTGAAAACTGCAGCTGTACGTTTGAAGATCTGAAGTGAAATTTGTTTACAAAACATTTTTTCATTTTTCTTTTTTACAATATGTAGTTTTTGATGTAACTTATTTCTGGGTTAGGCACTGTATAGTGTTTGTGTTTTAAATGCAATTGATATAAATCCATGCAAATTTCTGCACCATATATTAGGGAACTATAAATGTTGTTTTTTCCTATTTGACTTTCTTCCTGCAAAATGCTTGTTTCTAGTGTTCCACTTTACTTCATAGTCCTTGTGCAACAGAACTCAAGAGTTCCACTGGGGTAAACAAACCACTACTCAGAGACAGTTTAATCCGAACACAGGTTACTTATTCACCCTGCCCTGATAAGAAAGATTTTTCAAGAATCAGCTGCCTGTGTTCCCATCCGAGGGACTGTTCTAGGGACGCAGTGAAGATGTTCTCATTTATTCCGTGATGCATTTTCTGTCCTCACCTCCAGCTTGCTTTGTAGGCTGGCTTTAAGGACAAACCATTTTCTCCCCAGAGTAGTTGTTCCCAACCACACAATTCCAAGGCATCAGCAGGCAGAAAAAACAGCAAAAGCTGATTGAAAAGACACTCAGGCCAACAAGCACGATTACTCTGCTCCGACTCATGCGTGCTCTGCGGGCACCCATCTGCCAGGCAGGCTCATCCTCTGGGTGCGTTCTTTCTGAAAAGCTGAGGTGTGGGCTTGCTTACAGTGAACGCTAACGCTCTCTCTAGACCAGTGCTTCACCTTTGCCCCACAGCCCTATGATTTCATACCTTGCTTGTGCAAGCTGACAACAACGCCTACCGATCTTGCGTCTGCACAAGTGATACCGAAGTTGTCTGCTGAAGAGCTCAGAGAGAGAAAAGCCTGTCTGACTGCCGTCCCTCTCCATTTGCCAGTTCAACACAATTTAAGGGAGATGCTGCCCTGAGCTCTGTTTTATGCAGATGACCCATTTGGAAACCAGAAGCTTGTTTGTGCTGCTTTGCTCTTCTGACACTAAAATCATTCTCTCTCCCTCTAAAATGCCATGAACCAGCGCTGCCCTCCTTTCAGGTGTCATTCTTCCACTATTAATAAATGGCAAGAGGTCGGCTAATGAAGATGCTTAAACATTTTACTCTAAGACTTATTTTTTCCAGCCCGTTGAGTATGGAAAAAAGCCAAAGGGTCCGTGGGTAAAAGAAGTTTATAAGCGAGTTTATTAACTGCATTAAAAAGACTGCTGTAAGCATATGTATGTTCACAATATGAAACTGTGTGTGAAGGGACAGGGTAAGGACATATCATGTGGACCAACGCAGGTGTTACAGCGTACAGTCCCGAACTGGCTGAAGGGGTTGCATTAGAATATAAAGTAGTCAGTGTTTTGCCAGCTGTCTGACCTCCACCACTGCATTGCAAAGTTAAATGGACTTTTAAAATAAAGCTCCTCTCAGTAACACCTTGTACTTACACAGCACTTTTTATCTCCAAGTGCTTGAAATCTAGCTTTAGTTAAGCTTTACACAACGCAGTCACACCCAAGGTACAGCGCAGCAACTGCTCAGCAGTAACAGCCTGAGAAGGAAAGCAGCTTCTGCCAGGAAAACGACAGGGTCCCAGGCACTGGCACAGCCCAGCGCCGCTGCGGACAGCGTAGCAAAACTTGCCTGCATCAGAGGTCCAGAAAGCTAGGCTGGGCACTGTTCCTGAAGGACGGGGGGTATGTGATGGTAGCCACTGGCAACCAGGGTCTCCTAGCGGTCGCTACGCCCACCATTTCTTTCATCCTCTTTACCTTTGCTCTCCCCACTGTTCTGCTACTCCCCCTCCCTTTCCTGTGACTGTAGCAGAGGGATTCAAACGTAATTTTTCAAAGAATTGTCAATCTGGGCTCCACAAGTCATTTTGGCAGGTCATGGAGACGTTCAAAAATTTTCAAAACTTCCATAGTAAGATGCTGTAAAAATGTCTCTTCCCCTCTCCATTTTACTTTCTTCTTTCTATGGCAGTTAAAACTTTTGAAGATAAATTTCAGCCCTACAAAATACATAAACACTGGTCCAAAATGTACCTAGACCACAGAAATACTGGGTTTGGAAGGAACACAGACGTGTACAATCTCTATTACGTGTGAATGGTTACAACGCTGCTTTCCTATTCGGGTAACATATTCCACCTTCCTGAGTAAGGGCTCTTCTCAAGGTTGATTTAATTAGAGAGGACAGCATTAAACATTTATGCCATCAGAACTGAGACGTGAGGCTTCTAGGATCTTTTCCCTGAAAATATCACACAACCATCTTCTAAAGTAGCTCTCAGAGAAGAAAAGGTACTCAGGTAAACATCCTAGCAAGGATGTTTACTAAACTTCAAGTCACATCAGTTCTGATACAATGAGTTTGATGCCTAAAGCATTTTCTTGGAGAAAAACAATGACTGGTGAAAAAATCTCACCAAGCAGCTTCAGGAACACCTAGTAGAAGATGCCATTGAGTCTGGAGAAGTGAGGGGGGAAGAGCAGGCGGAGGAAGGAATCTGAGACAGTTCTGATAATCTCTGAAGCCAGAAGTCACAGGAAAATAGAGAAGACTCAGGGCACGAGATCTTTTGGTGGGTTTCTGCACTGGGTCTAAGTAGAGCAGAGATGATTGGGGGACCAAGACAAGGGTTAACTTGTAACCACCTGTCAGCTGGAAAACTAAACATGGAGGACCAGAACGAATTTCCTCGGGACTCACATCATGACCAGCTGATGAGAGAGGAAAGACAGTTACAGACCACAAAGAGCCAAGGGCAATCCTGCTGCAAAGACCCACTGGGGACGGGACAGGAGAAACCAAGCCTGACAGAAAGGGCTGAGCGTGGGGGTCAAAGCGATTGCTGAAAGACCATGCCCAGAAAGGGAAAAAAGGACTGAGTGGCCGTATCACCCTTTTACCAGTTCCAGCCTCGCAGATCACCACAACCCACCTTCTTTTCAGGGACCAGCAACCATGAGACAACTTCTCTACAAACTTTGATAGGAGACAGTCCTCCCCTGTTCCTAAGTCTGTTTACCTGGCTGTACACCATAGCGGACAGTGAAAGACAGTGGGTGTGCCTGGTGAGGCATTGCCCTTCCTGGCCTCCCGTGGAAAAGTCTTCTCCTTGGCCAAGCAGAGTGGAGTGGTGGCACCTCGTGGTCCCAACAGGGAGCAAGCAGGAGCACCCAACAGCTGCTTGAGTGAAAAACCCAGCGACAGAAAAGCATGAGGCCACCCATTACATCGCCGTGCCTCCTTTCGGCCTCCTTCCAAACTGGTCCCACAGGCCGATGCCAAGTGGAGAAACAGCTGTTCTGGGATGACCGCAACCCCACAGCACCAGGGACATGTCCACCCTGGTGCAGGCTCTGCAGCCACCCAGGCTTCCTGCCAGTTAACAGGGAAACAGCGCTGCCTCCGAAAGGAACAGAAATATTTGTTCTTCACTGACATCTACTGACTGCAGCATTCTAACTGCAAAGCTCCACACAAGAATTCTGCGTTCATTTTCGCAGGGTGCTGCGGGGCTCAAAAGCAGCAGGATACCCTAAAGGGAATCAGACACAGGTTTGGGGGGAGCAGGTCTGTCTCCAGGTATCGAGGGACAGTCCTGATGCATAGCCTGCTTACGAAGTCCTTCATTTCTGACTGCCAGTGTCTGCAAGGAGGTACCTGGGAATGATCAACCCGCACCACTGAGAATCTACTAGCAGCCACAGTAGAGACAGGACAATGGGACAGACGATGGCATTCACTTATAAGCAAATATCGACACTTGGGAGTAATAAAAGCAGATTTGCTTTTTCTGCCTGCAAGGCCTGTCGCTGAAACAAAGGTTAACTGTGGTTTGTTCTCCGACATTTGTGACCTTGGTAAACTACTTAGCCTTAATCCAACAGCCAGGTATGTACGGCTATGCTGCTCAAACGGCACTTAGTTGCCTAGCTACTTAAGAGGGATGAGGAATTACACAGTTTACAGCATTGCCTGCTGGCTAAATTAAGGATTTACCTACATTACAATAAAAAAGGTACAGCAGGACTTCATTGGCAGATGGATGAAAAGCAATACAAAGCTAGCTTGTGCATCTTTCTGCTATCCAAGCTCAGACACCGGTGACAGCAGCTTAACTGAAGCAGCCCAGACTTGAGTTCCCCCGCTTCTCAGCGGGGGCATCAGTACAGATGCACCGCAAGGCACAGCTCCAGTTAGCTCATTGCTCTCTTCACTGCCATGCACTGCCTGCAACTTTACCCTGAAAACCTCTGAAATCTCTTGGCTTTCATCACACATCAAATGTGCGCTTTCTTTAAACACTGGGAAGCCTCACTCTTACAAGCTGCAAGGTGCTCAGTGACATGATGGTAAAAACCTGGAAGTGGACGAAGCATGCGAGAGCAAGAAGTCAAAAGCAGCATGGCTTGCAGACAGCCCAGCTTTTCTTACAGGGAGAGTGCACAAAGACACAAGGATGTTGATACACTGAC